CACACACACACACAGACACATACGCGCGCCATTCTCATGTCAGAACGCTCTGACCATAGAGAGAGGGATTAATTAATTAATCCATTACTTGATCAAAAAACTCTACGTCTCTCCGTCTCCATGGTAAACAAAAACCTGTCCAGTCAACCTGTACATGTAACAGACCCTTAAGACAACTTATTCACCTCGTTCCAGTATACACCTCCAGTCTGTGGGAGAGCTATTGCCAACAACAAAACAAAACAAAAACAAGAGAACAAACTTCACAACCTAAACTGGGACCGCGAAATCCTTCTGGCCTGTCCAGAAGAGATTGTCATTTTTACTCTATGACGCACGGGACACACGGCCCTAACACACAAACACCTCCTCCAGGGAGATGAGAAGCCGTTGCGACACAGATTCTACCATTAGACATATTTTAACCGAATGTCTAGACTTCGGAGAGACCCGAAGGAAATACTTTAAATGCAAAAAATTACAAGATATTTTTTCCGTCGTTGTTCCCAACAGAATTTTAGAATTTATAAAGGCCATTGGTCTTTATGGGAAATTATAAAGTGAAATTAAATGATCAAAACTGTTTATGTTATTTAGGAAAGTTGTTTTAGATTGAAAATATATTTACACTGAATTCTAAATATTTTAACATTTTAAAATCTAACCATTGACCCAAGCCCAGCCGTATAGTGAACTACTGCGAATAAAACTAACTTGTGTTTCGCGCGCTCATATGACCTCATGCAGTTGCGAACGCCGTAAAACCCCATACTAAACTAAACTATACCTTCCCTATTGTTCTCAGCACAATCAATTGGGAAACGACGCCGTTCCCAATGTAGTGACTGGCACATTAAGACTCTGTCTTTGTTTCGTTACTTCCCCATGTTGCTTCTTTTGTACACTACTCAGACAACGGAGTCTTGTCAGAGAGTATTATATTATTATTTTTTAAGAGTCTATGGCTTTGTAGACGGCGTTAAAAACTATAGCAGAGACAAGAGTCTCTGACTATAGTAAACGATCTAAAAAAATAACTACAACAAGAAACAAAACAAATCAACAGTGACACGAAACAAAAGAGGTTTTAGGTAACTGTCAGATTGTACAAAATCCATGTCTAAACCAAGGAGCTTAGGACGCTATATCATGTGTGTGTGTGTGTGTGTGTGTGTGTGTGTTTGTGTGTGTGTGTGTGTGTGTGTGTGTGTGTGTGTG